TTACAGTGTAAGCCCCACTGAGCTGTATAGCTCTTCCACAGAAACGACCTGACCACAAATGATAGCTCAACGAAGTGGCTTATCGTGTGGAATTTCGAGCAACATAATCAAAAAGCACGTTTCTAAATGCGGAGGGACAAACTGAAGGACCCGGATAACAACATCGAGGCAAACACAGGAAGAGAGAGACATGCAATCTCCAAATATACAGGCGAAAGGGTCTGGATCGAAGCCACGACCTCCTATATACCAGGCGAGGGAGGTAATATCTCGCCACCGCGGGCGCCCCATTTGCAAGGCTGCACCTGGACCACCTTACAGCAAAGTAAAGTGACAGACGAGGTGCTTAGAATTCAGAGCTCAGCTTCCACAGTGGCCCAGTCGAAAAGGCAGTGTTCACACCCCACTACCCCCTCCCCTCACACCCCATCCCCCCTACCACCTTCGGGGAATCACAGAAGATTGGGGAACCAATTAAACTGTGCATGGCTATCAAGACGCGTTTCACACGAGGGAGTTAAGTAATACAATTTTTGACGTAAGAGCGTTAATTAGAAATTGCATGACCCAGCTAGCCACTGGATGAGTTGACCACGTGATGCTCAGAAGGTATATAAATATGCAGCCGGTTAAAAACAGAGAACATTGCTGTGCAGAAACCAGGTTGCAAGTAAGATTCCGACATGTCAATCACCGTCGTGCAACCAAGGTATAATCCCGTTCAGATTAGAGTGTCTACACCGTCTTTGTTCGTGATGGTTTATGCTCATTGAAGAGATCACCAAGGTAAAACACGTAAATGTGTGCTGACAACCGTATATTTAGTCTGCAGCCTTTCATGCGCGTCCACATTTTTACGTTGTTTTCTAAATAATAATTTACAGATAGTGTTAAATTCAAATAACCGAGCACGTACTATTTACACACACGCATATATAAACCACGTTCACGATCTAAAATGTGTACGGAATGGAACACGTTGATATCGTGAGTTTGAAATGAAGCATATTGCCTATTGTAACATGCAGTGTGCACGTATATGTCATTGCTGATGTGAGCACTCGCGACCCTAGCAAAGCATCTCCAGTGGAACGGGGTTTTTGTGACGGGTTATTCTTAGACAGAGCTGAAAAACTTGAAAAAACGCTGCCTTGAGCGTGTGTGATGGAGTCCCAACGCTCACAGGGCTATCGTTTTTTATACGTGGGCTGTGACGATTTTACTGGAAAGTAATGCGTCGGTTTTTTAGTGCCATTTTATATTGATCTGTGTTTAAATTACTCCATGTTCATTGTCTATTTTCTTGACATGTTTGTCATGATTTTTCTCCACGTGGAATGGCAAAACATGAATTGACAAAACTTCAATACATTATAAACGTGCATTTCACACATCACATCAATCCGAAGGTATTATCAGCAGTATTGGTTCATTTCCAGCAAACGCCGTACCGGTTTCGACATTCAGTGCCTCATCAGCAGTCACGCTTGCTTGGATCAATGCTGGTGAGATGCCCAATGTTGTTTTTGTAAAAATACCCTTAATGTAAGAAATGGGACCAAATTAGACAATCAACTATATAATACGTCGCGCATAAAAGTAATAGTCATAATTATTAACCATCGTTGTGGAGAATGTTAGTAAAAAAAATGTTTTATCTGTCCACATAAATGATTAAAAATAAATGCACAGCTCACTGACCAATCCTGCTCTGATGCACTCCCCGGAGGCAGGGCAGCCGCTTGCTCGTAACAAAGAGAGGACTTCTAGATTACAAATCCCTCCATGGTTCTGCCCCGCCCTATCTCGCTCCTCTTATTCTTATTATACCCCATTTCGGCCCCTGCATTCACAATCTCTAATATATCCCTCACTACGCCCCTCCCCACCCCTCCCTGTGCTCAGTCACTTTCCGCTCTTTTTAAATCCTTTATATTAAGTTCACTTGCTTGCTTGCGCGCTTACGACCGTGCAAATCTTTCGGTCGTTTTTAACCCACTTCCCGTGATCCAATCGAGCTGACATTTTGCACACAGACTCGTTGTGCGTGACAATTTATTTTCGTGAAAAAATCCAAAATTTTACACTTTTTAGGATTTTTTTTATATTTAATTACCAATTGCTTAATGGTGGCAGGCAATCATCTGACCCATAGCTGGCAGCCATCTCAAGTCAGAGGACGAGAGGACTCTAGCCGCCACGCATATAAAGGATTTATAGTGAAAACCTTTGTTTTTACGGGTTAATTTTTTCCCTCCTGGCTCCCCTCCTTTGGAATAAACTGTCGCTCCACATCAAAAAGGCAACTTCACTCATCAGTTTTCGAAAAGCGTATCCCTGTACTACGTCGTGCCCTCGTCCTTGAAACCCTAAACCATCCTCTCCCTTCCCTCTCCTAACCTCGCCAGCCCTCCCTTTCCCAATCATCATCCTCCCTTGTCATCTCTTCCCCTCCCCAACACTCAAATCCTATCCCTTTTCCCCATCAGGCAATAACTAATGCACCGTTTTTAATTCTTGTGAAGCGCTTTGACGAAAACGCTTCATAAAATCCAAGATAAGATCGGTTTTAACGTGAAGAGACAAATGTGGGAAGAATGCGTTCTGAAAATACAATTGTATTAATTGTGCACAGTCAAAACAGCTCGGACCCAGAATTCATGGTAATCCGGAATTCATGGTAAGCCAGAATGTTTCACGGAATAAAGGAACTGAACTTTCTAATATCATATCTAAGTCCCATCCCACTTCCTCTTCCCTTGATTCCATTCCTTCTTCCCTTTTACCCCGACTCTTTCCCTTAATTCTGCACTACCCAGTGTCCCTATTCAATTCTTCCCTCTCCTCTGGTGTCTTTCCTGCCATCTATTTCCCTCATTATTGTACCACTCCTCAAGAAATCCTCTCTTGATACCTCTTCTCCTGCCAACTACCGCCCCATTTCCCTTTCCCCTATTTATCCAAACTCTTCGAATGCCTGGTACACTCTCGTCTTAACCACTACGGATCTTCGAACTCTCTCTAACCCAATTCCAATCTGGGTTTCGTCCCTCTCATTCAACTGAACGGTTCTTTCGGTTCAGAATCATCCGGCTAACTCTGCTCGTGCTGGTCTCTCTTCCATTCCGATACTCCGCGATCTGTCCTCAGCTTCTGACACGGTTGCCCATCCTCCTCTTCTCTCTACTCGCTCTTCTCTTGGCATTTCCGACGCGCCACTTTCCTGGCTAAAGTTTGATCTCTCTTTGCGCACCTCTGCGGTCTCATACAATCATTGCCACTCCCTCCCAGCCCCCTTCACTGTTGGTGTTCACAAGGGTCAGTCCCCATATTTATCTCTTTATTGCTCACCGCTTGCGTCTCTCCTTCCGTCGCTGAACTTTCCCCATAATGTATTCGCAAATGACATCGACATTTTCTTCCCCTTTCCTTTCTTTCCCGCGATCTCGTCTCCGTGTCTCATCCTGCCTGGTCTCCATCCAATCTTAGATGTCACGTCACTTTCTGTCCATTAACCCTTCCAAACCCAAATTATATTTTTCCCTGCCTCCCATTCCCCTCCTCCCTATCCACCATCTCTTTCCCTCCTTTTCTATTTCCAAATTTCCTCAACCCGCAACCTTGGTGTTTGCTTTGACTCTTCCCTCTCCCTCACCGATCACATTGGCGGTTTCATTTGTTCAACATTCGCAACATCCGACCCCTTATTTCACCTCTGCTGCAAAACTCCTCATCCATTCAATTATCCACACCCGTATGGACTACTGCAACTCTCCTACGCTCGGTCTCCTCATTCACTCTCATGGCCCCCTTCAACAAATCTGAAACAACTCTGCTCCGCTCATATTCAACCTTTCTTACAGTTCCCATACATCGACCCTCCTCGTGCAACCGCACCGGCTCCCTGTCGACTACCGTTGCCCATTCAAATCAATCACCCTGTTCTACAAATACTTTCATGGTCTTGCCCCACCGTATCTTGCCACTCATGTATTTTTATACGTGTCGCCTTTTCGCTCTTTGCGTTCTCAATCTCAGCTGTCTCTCTCTCTCTCTTTTTAACGATCAGAGGAAACAAGAAGATGCTCGGTGTAGTCGGCACGTTGCTTCATTCATCATTTCGTCTCTCTGTTCCTCAGCGCCACAGCGTCTCTCTCTCTCCTCACCTCCCTTCGCCGGAACAAACTTCCCCCTCCACATTAAGTGGTCACCTTCGCTCACTAAGTTTCTGCTCCGCACTCAAATCTCACATTGTTCCCGAGGTAACCTCACGATCCTCCCCCCCCCCCCTTAATCTCCGCCACCGTTACTTTTCCCTCTTCATATTCTCATTGTGTGGCTTTCACTCATTCCCCATTCATTCAATCAAATCATCGTTTACTGTAATCGATTTCGCTCTCACCGATTTCGCACATCACAGATGTGTCCCCATTGTTTCCCTTACCTATTTCATTCATCTCATCTCCACCACGACAGTCACATGTACTATTGTTAATTACGTGTCAAGCGCCTTGGCTAAGTCTCTATATAAATGCTTTCAAGATAAGATGTTCAACAAATAAACCACAACACTGTTGGTGTACTTGTTCTTGGGTGCTTCGCGACCATTGTGCCATGGTATTTTACAATTGGTGGACACGCAATGATCTACAACAATGAACACAAATGCAGTTAACTGGGTATGACAATTCGCTCGTTGGTGGTTACAACCAGCATCATCAGGCAGAACATCAGATTTCTGTCAACTGGCCTATGATACTGGCAGTAACTACCATCAGCACGTCGTACCCAGCTGTTGAATGCGTGTCGAAGCAGCAATTAACTGGCACGTGTGTTAATCACGTGACCACATGACTAACTGGCTGTGCCGGGTGGTGGAGGGTTTACGACATGTAGTTTTAGTTACGCGATCTGACCCGAGGAGAAAAAAATCAACCAATAATGAGTGCTACTCTCTTTATTTTTCATTTATTTATAGCGCTTCACGTTCGAAGACGGCGATGGAACTCGACGACTCGTTCATAATGCTCGGAACATTCGAGGCTTCCGATGGCGTGCGGATGTTCGCGTTCAGCCTCACCCTGCTGCTGCTTGTCGTGACCGTGACGGCGAACCTGCTGGTGCTCGCGATCGTGGCGGCACGCACGCAGCTCCACGTGCCCATGTACGTGTTCATGTGCAACCTGTTAGTGGCCGACGTCGTGGGCGGCGCGGTGAGTTTCCCCCAGCAGCTGTACGTCTTTCTGACGGGCGACCTGCGGATCTCGCGCGCGTCCTGCATCGCGCAGATGTTTTGGATCAACGTGTTTGTCGATTTGGAGAGCCTCACGCTGGCCGCCATGTCCTTGGACCGCTACGTGGCCATTTGTCACCCGCTGCGCTACCACGCCGTCGTGACGGGCAGACGGGCATTGCTCGCCGTGGTGACGACTTGGTTCATCACGGTGGCCGTCCTCGTACCGCAAACCCTCCTCGTCTCTCGGTTGAACTGCGAGCCACCGATAGGGAGATACAGGGCAGTTTATGCGATTTTTCGGGATACATTCGCCTGTCCGTCAGCGACACGAAGGTTCAGGAAATATTCGGATCGAGCGCATTGTTTGTGTTCATCGCTTTGCCGCTGTGTGTTATCGCCTACACTTATTTTAGAATCATTCGTGCGTGCAAGCGGACAGGGCAGAGCGAGTTCAAGAGAAAGGCAGTGCACACGCTGCTCACCCACTTCCTGATGCTCGCGATGTTTTTCGTCGCGTGTTTCGTATCGACCATGGTGCCACGTCTGGTCAAGGACTATCAATACTCGCAGATCAAAAACCTGCGATGCGGTGTTCAGTTGGTTACCTTCATCATCCCCATCGCTAACGTCAGCATTTACTTCGTCAGGAACAAGAAGCTAAGGAGAGAGATGGTGAAATGCTTTAAGCAGATTAATCCCAGAGGAGTCGGTCGTTCGAGGTCGCACAAGGTGTGCAACATATCGCCCGGTAAACAATCTCCGCACGGGGAGATTGTTCCATAAAGCGAGGCGGTCCACAGCACCAACGCATACACAGCACAATCTCACACGGATAGCAGCTGTGGCTTTGCCGATGTTAAAATTAGATTATAGTAGACCCTTAACTGAGACGTATATAAGCTACATGGTATCCACAATAGTGTCCCATTACCCCCAGATTATACTATACTTAAGGATTAGTTAACTTTCATTGTCATCAGCCTTCGTCAATCCACTGCTGGATGATTGGTTTCCCAGGCCACCCTGCTACCTCTCGATATCTCTGCGATGTAATCATATAAATAGTGCCTGAACGCAATCTGAATCCATTGCTCCATCTCCCTTCGGTGGACATGCCCCTCGGAATCGTCCCATTCCGTGGATGCCGCTCCTTACCATTAACAATAATACTCAATTTGCAACGCGAACAATGCTCACTTGCCCAAAGGCGGCGACCATGAGGCGCGGAGATCAGCTATGAGATCCGCTCAGTAAAAAGTAAAAGATAAAAAAAATTGAGAGGGCGCTTAAATATAGATGAAGGGTTCCGACCATCGTGCATCATTATCTTGTCTAGGCATGACGGCGTCCTGCCCCCCCCCCTCCCTTGTTTAGTCTGCCTGTCCGTTCATTCTGTATGACTGTTACAGGCACGGGCAGGTATGCGTGAGATGCAGGTACCTTGGAGAGCGGCATCGTAGCAAGAGCTACGATGTCGAGGGGAACAAACTTCCCACTCCACATCAAGCGGTCACCTTCGCTCGCTCGTTTCCGTTTCTCATTCCAAACTCACTTATTGTTCTCCCGCTCACCACACGACCCCTCCCCCTTAATCTCCCCCCCACACCCCGCATGACCACCACCACCGTTGCTGTTTCCTCTTCATATTCTCATTATATGGCTATCACTCATTCCCCATTCATTCATTCAATTCCTCGTCATTTGCTGTCATCAATTTCGCTTTCACAGAATTCACGCATCATCAAAGATTCGCCCCATTGCTTCCTCTCTCATCTACAGGGTGTTTAAAAAGATGGACCCGATTTGAAATCACTATATCTCTGCAACCACGAACCGCCCATGAATGAAACTCTTACCATTTGAAAGGGCGTGGTGTAGAGTTTCAAATGATTATCGCTAGATGCCTCTCCCAGTTCACAAACAGCCCCTAGCTTCAGTCATTCGCAAGACACACTGCCTCAACGTTGAATAGGTCGCACGGGACCCCAAGACTTGGCGCTACACTCTTGGCCCCCAATATCCCCAGACATCACACTCTGAGACTTTTTCTTGTGGGGATACGTTAAAGGTCGTGTTTTTGTGCCACCATTAGTGACTAATCTGGAAGACCTCAAAAACAGAATAACGGCAGCGGTGACTTCAGTGGAAGGAGACACTTTGAGAGGTGTTTGGGACGAATTCAACTATCGCCTCGATGTTGTCCGTACAGCAGGTGGAGGGCACATAGAACATAAAATGGTTAGTGAAACTTGATAACTCATTAAACCGTTTGTAACTTTTCGTGTAATTGTTACATGTTGCCATCGTGAAATATACTGCTTTGAAATTGGGTTATCTCTTTAGAACACCCTGTATTTAATTCACCTCATCTCCACCATTACATTCACACCGCGTTGTTGTGCCGTTGTCAATTATTTGCAAAGCGCCTTTTTCAAGGCAAGAGACGCTGTCTCACACACATGCGAGATGACTGATCAATTATTTTGAAAACTGACGCCCAACACCATAACCAACAGCCCACCAACGCCCCACAAATACTCCCACCAACACCCGCACCAACAGCCCCACCTACATCCCCATGAACAGGCGTCCAACACACCCACCAACGAAGACAAAAATTCCCGTATAGCCTGTAACAGACGGTTGGGGCAAGTGATGTTAGTGTGCAACTTGAATTCCGGAACGGCACACGAGGGGGGTGGGTGGCCAGCACCACGCCCGGCCGCCTTTGTCTCCCCAGTGGCGATGTTTACGCATCGCACCAGGTACTAATTTTAGGCTGAGTCGATCTAGGGAAGGCTCAGGACCGGTTCAGATAATCGTCACTGGCGTTGGCCGTGAGCGGGAATCGAACTGTGGTGGCCAGGTTCATAGCGCAGCGCGCTGACCGCTACACCACCACTACCCCCACCATGTCTACATTTCAATAGAGGATCTATGGCAAAAGGTGAGAACCCCCGTGACATGATATGACACATGCTGTGCGACTGTTGCTTGTACGGAGACCTGGCGTGTGTGCCCACGGTTGATGAGATTGACGTAAGCGCTGTGACATCAACTTAAAATCCAAATCTCGCATCACTTGACGCAAGAAGACACCTACAGCTGGCCATGTTCATCCATTAAATCCGTTTCGGCAAATCTGCCCTCCGCTTAGCTCATTCATTATCGCCATCGTCACGCCCAAGAAACCTAAGGCGTCCATCAAATTGACTTTGAAATATCGCCCGGAGCAAGAATTGGAATCAGTGCCGAAGCATTTGCCGTTGCAGCACCAACGTTTCTGGAACAACCCTCTTTCCTCCCTTAACATCGTAAATCTTCCTTCAAAAATATTCTGAAGCACATGATTAGTGCTGGATGTCGCCACATTTGCAAATGTTATTTGTAACTTTGACCCTTACCTTGTGTATCGACAGTTCAATGTTAATTTGCAATTTTATTGAGAGACTACGACTGCGTAAATCTTCACTTAAATCTTTCGTGACTGCACGAATTCATATTATTTGGGTCTTTCGGTAAAGTCACGTAGATAGTAATTATAGGTTTTTTACCCTTTTTTCTGGCAACAAAACTGAAACCTTTTTTTACAAGGAATCATGTTTGCATTAACCACAATACCTGCAGTCAAAATGCAAAGAAAAAAACACTCTGATAATGTATGCATTGTCCTTGAAATTGATTGGTCCACACCAGAGACAGCTTTCCTTAGAGCCTAGTCTCATATGGTGTTCGACCAGAAGACGCCAAAAGGCGCACAACTCAAAGACAACGCACTATCAGAGTAATGAAGGCTCGGGGTAAGCATTTACAAGGAATCATGTTTGCATTTGTTTGCATTCTGAAAAATATAGTAATAGGTTTTTATCCTTTCAACTGGTACAAAGCTGACACCTTTATACAAGGGATCATGTTTGCAATAACCACAACACAAGCAGTCAAAATGAAAACAAAAAGAAACAACTCTGATAATGATAATGAATGCACTGTCCTTGAAGTTGATTGGTCCACACCCGAGAAAGCTTTTCTTGGAGCCTAGTCTCCATTGGTGTTGGACCAGATGACGCCAAAAGGCGTACAACTAAACAAGTAAACCCGAAAAACAAAGTTTTTCACTATAAATCCTTTATATGCGTGGCGGCTAGAGTCCTCTCGTCCTCTGGCTTGAGATGGCTGCCACCTATGGGTCAGATGATTGTCTGCCACCATTAAGCAATTGGTAATTAATATTTAATTTGTTTTCCCTAAACAGTGTAAAATTTTGGATTTTTTTTTTCACGAAAATTAATTGTCACACACAACGAGTCTGTGTGGAAAATGTCAGCTCGATTGGATCACGGGAAGTGGGTTAATAAGTATGCAAGCAAGCGAACTTAGCATAAAGGATTTAAAAAATCAACCCGTAAAAACAAAGTTTTTCACTCTAAATCCTTTATATGCGTGGCGGCTAGAGTTCTCTCGTCCTCTGGCTTGAGATGGCTGCCACCTATGGGTAAGATGATTGTCTGCCAGTATTAAGCAATTGGTAATTAAATATTTAATTTGTTTTCCGTAAACAGTGTAAAATTTTGGGAAAAATTTTTCACGAACATTAATTGTCTCGCACAACGAGTCTGTGTGCAAAATGTCAGCTCGATTGGATCACGGGAAGTGGGTTAAAAAACGACCGAAAGATTTGCACGGTCATAAGCAAGCAAGCAAGCACGCAAGCAAGCAACGCGAACTTAATATAAAGGATTTAAAAAAGGTTTCAGTTTTGTTGCCAGAAAAAAGGGTAAAAACCTATTATTATAATTTGCTACTGGAAAAGGATACCTCATGATGTAAATCACGTAGATAGGTTCATTATTTTATTTGAACCTATCTACGTGACTTCACTGAAAGACCCAAATTATACAATACTACTGCGTGTTATCTTGCTGTGGTCTGGCACTGTTTTCTTGTTGTTTTTGCTGCCTTGCCCAAGCTTACATAATTAATTTATTTCGTGTTAATTTATATTTTGTGACTTGCTTACCTGTTTCTCTATGTTGCACTCGCATATATTTTTTGGTTTGTTCGATTTTTGTCCTTGTTACTCGCTGACGCTGTGCCCCATACTGGACATCTGTGAAAAAGAGCTCCATAGCTCTTCGGATTCCTCCTCCTCCAGTCGAAATAAAGATTCCGATTCTGAAGCATTCTTTCACGTTCTCTTTCACTGATGACTCCCCCAACCCCACCCCCCCAAGCGCTTGCGTTAAATATTCGGCTCCAAAGCGTGAGCACAACACGCGCAGGTAAACCGAACAGAGAGGAGCGTCATGTTGGTTGTGTATTGCACACAATCGTGTGGAGTTGGGGCCGTCCTAGGAGGCGTCTGTTTCCCCAATGAGTGGAGCGCCGGGTGGAAAAAACACAGCATGTTTGCACAGCAGGGGGTGCATCGGCCAGTCATTTCAGTGGGTCAACCCATGGCACCTGGGTCTGCCCGTGACCTCCTGCCAGCGGGCGTTAGACACTTCACGTAGCCTCAACGTGTACGTAGCCTGGCACAAGCGCCGTGGTGGCGTCAGTCACTTAGCGGAGAATGGCGGTTGTTGTTGTTGTTTCCCGGTGCTTTTTGGTTTCGACTACAGACGGGATACGCGAGTTTAACACATAGGCTTTCGCGACCAATATTATTCATAATAAACGTTTTTGGGTTTAGATCGCGTTATTTAAAAATGTGTCGTAACCCTCCACCACCCGACACGGCCAATCAGCAAAAAAGTGTCACGTTGACAAAAGACAAATAGTTCACT